TCTAAATGTCTATCATATCATAAAATCACCCGTAATTGCATAAATCTTTGTATATTACGAAATGATGAGATTATAACAAAAACCCTTCGATAGAAAAAGTACGTAATATATGGGCAAGGAAAATGATCGCATGAAAAGGACAGATAGCCTCGTCTTACTTAAGCGCCAAGGACGGGACAGTCGCAAGAAGATTAAGAGCCGCACGTGATATCTTTTCACGTGGAAAAAACATCCATGCGAAGTTAATGCGTGCTCTTGGTTCATACGACTTTAACGAGTGCGGTTTCCTTATTTATTCTCAGAACGCAACTGTCAGCGTAAATTAGAGATCGCGGATTCGTTTAGGCGGATTCGTCGCGTAGGCGGAAAGAATGGCAACGTCAAGAAACTCGTAAAGAGAATATATCGCGACGTGCGAACGTGTCGCGGACTGTCGCACTTGTAAACGTCCGTTATTCTTATTAGATTCTTGCTAGAGGCGTTTAATTCTCCAGGATTTAGTTCACGTAATTATTCAATTGATTTAGTTCGCGATCGCGCGCGATTACAAAACACAGCCGTGTCGACTACATGAATAATTAAGAATACGGATAATTTTTCCAAATGCCAGTCTATCTCGATCCGTCTGACCGCTCGCGCTCGACATATTCTTATCGCCAAGAATTTGACGCATGTATAAGTAAATTACCGCGAAAGTTAATGGTAATAAACTAATAACAGCGCACGGCGAGATAGAAGGCGCCGGCTGACCAGCCTCAACGCATTCTCAGGCGCGATGTTTTTATCGCGATGTAGCCAGGCGCCGATAAGTGACTCAACGCAAAGCCCGCCGTGACAGCTCCGCCTCTGCGAAATGCCAATGAGCTTCTATGCATTTTGTACTTATCGATGTGTTACGCGGCGATTTCGCGATACAAACTACCCAATCGCGCGTCATTGTACCTGCCTGTTCGGATAATGGCGCAAAAATCTGAATTGTGCATAAGCTTATCGTGTATCGGAGTTACCCAAGGTTTACATAATTGTGACGTCATCCGATGAAATAGTGACTCTTACACACCCGTATTATTTATCTTCGTTTGTAATCGATTGATCGACAAAAAATTGCATATATTATACAAGTTCATTTGCGTTTAACTATCGATCGGAATACAATATCGCGATTTGTTGCAATGGGATATTATAAGCTTAACGAAGATCTGTGTATCGTGATAGTCTGGCGATAACGAGAGTAATAACATATCATTGCGAATACTCATGCAGACAAAATTACCAAGATTGCAAGTCATCGTGCGAGAATTATGTGTCTCGTTCGTTATTTGCAAATGATGCAGTAATTAAACCACGGATCCTTGTCCCCTTGCTCGTGCTTCAAGAGCAGACCGATCGATCGCTTATCTCTGCGGCTTCGGGATCGTTAATACAACGATCGATGGAGATCGCGCAATGTAATCCAGCTCGACGGGGTTTATTTGACAGATCATGTTCATACGACGGATCATGTGCTCGAAGAAATAAAGGAAAGGGTGTAGACGGAGGAGGAGAAGAGAAAGTCCGCACACGTGGGTGGACAACACACGGTTTCCGGATTGGTCACGCTTTCTATTAAAAATCCACTTGCTACTGTTGCTATCACCGTTCGTCGCCACGCGACATTGATCTTTAGCGTTATTCGCAGCAGTTCTTTTCGGTAGAGAAATCCCGTTTGAACGGACTCTCACGATAGCGCGATTATTGTGCCATCGTTTCGTAGCACCGGTATTACGACGAATTGTGTTGGGGTGATTTATTGGGGATTTGGATTATAATAGTTTCCCTTCAAGGATCGTGTAGTCTTGCTTTAATGCCGTCGTTTGTGTGTGAAACTTTAGCTATTTTAGATTTAATGCTATTTATTCGATGCTAAGTTATCTGTCTATAGTATATCGCTAATAAATCATTCATAGTATATCACTAATAAATATATACAATATTATACATCTAATTCTCTCTCTCTCTCTCTCTCTCTCTCTCTCTCTCTCTCTCTCTTTTATTTTTCCTTATCCAGATCTTTCATTTTTTAAATTAAATATTTTTTAAATTAAATCTCATTTAAATAATTTCGCCATTGTCAATTACATACGCGTTTATTATTATATTATCTATTTTATAAAAGATTTGTTCTAAAATGGTTTATTTATTTTTGAAGCTTTAAAAATGTTTGTAATTTGTATTTTTGAAAATTCGTAATTTTTAAAACGTTTACAGATGGTCAACGATTGTGTTGGTCGATAGCTCGTGACAGTTGATTGACTGTAAATCTAGCAAACGTTTGGTGCGTTTTTTAAATGCATTGCTATAGGCGATGCTCGATAACGGTTCCGGGCTAAAGTCCCTCCGGTTATCGTTGATCGACGTAGAATCAATCATTTCGCATGTATTCCACCACGTTTCGCCGTATTAAGTATTCAATACATATAGGTATACATCAGATATATGAGAACGATGCGCGAATGGCGAAGGAATGCAGACTTTGACCGAATTCTGCGTATCATCGATAATATCTGCGATAATGCATTCGATGACGAAATGAAAGTGTCTCCGCTCTCGTGTTGGATCTCCGTCAGAACCCTATGTTCTTATCATCGATTATGTCCAAGAAACACCCTATGATAAGAAATGGCGACACGTTTCTCTCGTCAACCGGTGCAAATGTCTTATCAAATAAATTCCACGCGCCATGACTCACTGGCAATGATATACCATATGGTGTATATTACACATCTCCGCCGCGCTGTGTCGGCGCGATAATCCGAAATTATAACTCTAATCCCTACTCATGATTACGCGTCGGCTGCTTTCATCGGTGCCCGCTGAAAGCGATCGAATCGAATGGACGACCGGTATTTCGATTATCAACAGAAAGAGGACGTCGATGATTCATGACGATGGGTGCACTCGCGGTAGCTCGAACATACGGATCTCTTCGTCGTAAAATATCTACGTCATCGAGTCGTCGCATAATTATTCGTAATTGGCTTTGATAAACACGTTTGATTGTGCCGCCCCTGATAGAAATTCCTCGATTTATACAGATCTTATAAAACAAGAGAAATATAATGTAATTGACAATTGATATCGTATTTGATAATTACTGTGATAACGAATGAACTATATAAATAATCTGGGACATTTAACATGAATATTAAAATATTAGAAATATGTGATCCAATTAATTCCTGCTTGTATTCAATAACTCAACAGCAACATGATTGATCTCATTATATATAGTTTTTAGTGCAATGTTTATATATTAAAAATTAATGATCTTATAATCTCTAATTTAATTTTTCAAGTATTAAAGACATTTAATTTTACTTTAGATTTATTATAAAAAAAGAACATTAGTACTAGCGAAACTTTGTTTTGCTCAGGATTATATTTTAAATACAATAAGGTTATATAACTAAGCAAGGATGAAGAGTTTTCTTTCAAATCTATTTTCTTTCCGTATATCTACAATTGCAATCCGGACTTGACATTTTGTTGGAATTAATTCGGAGTTCGAGGAAATACGCGACAAGATCTCATTCTAGGCCGCTTCACCTTACCTGATCTTTCAGGGATCCCGATGGGACTCCACAACTCGACGGCGCGGACTTTCCTCCGTATCTCTCGCGTCGGTTATCGAAACAGCTCGGCTTTTCGTTCGTTGGTTGAATGGTGAACGTATGCACGCGTGAAGTTCCGTCCATTACAACACGGTAAGAAGGCGTGTTTCCACCATGTGAGAGGCGTCGCGGCTTCTAGACGGGGACCAATCGATGATTTCTCGAGAGTCATTAACTCACATAACGAATGATGCCAAGAGAACGTCGACATCGCCATACTGCTACGTATGGCGCCCGTATTTTCTTCGTCTTTTATCAATTGGAATTTATGTGCGGAATTATATATATGTACGGACAATGAGCAAGAATTATCATTCACACTTCGCCATTTATCGTGTATTAATCAATAATGCGATAGTCGAAGTCTGTGATAGATAGCGCAAGTGAACAAACGATAAATATCAAAAGAGATAAATGTTAAACTAATGCGAAAGAAAAAAAAGAGAAAGGTTTTTTGCGCAAGTAACATTTGTCGAGCCTCCCTTGAGGAACGACATTCCTCTCTGATAGGTCAGTAACATGTATCGGCGCAACATAATCGACGCCAACAAGCGAGGCGTGAGATAAGATATCGATTCGCAGCATCATCGCGATTGAGTGACGAAATTTAGACAACGCCCGCACCTTTTTTGCACAAAACGTTTAGACTTTATCGGCAAATGTTGAATGTTAAATCTACAGTCGCTCCTGACATGTCGCGGTAAACGCATTCATTGTCTTCTCAAATTCACAGTTGAAATTCTAATATCGTTTACACAAAATTAGCTTGCAATTTTCACGGATGATTTACTGAAAAAAATCATCTTGGAGTTTCGATCGCGATATATAGGTACTTTATATGCATTTTAAAAACGGTTTTCGAAAAGTGTGAAGTGATAAATTGTTTTAATATACAAGTTTGCTTAAATTACTTTACTACATGAAAGGTGAGAACGTGTGATATAAATCACGAGATCATAATAGAATAAGAAAGATGTATCACAAATTAAAATGTTTCATATATTCGATTAAAGGCATAATATAATGAATTTTATTTAGTAATATCACTGAATAATAATCTTATCTAAATTAAAATGACCAAATTGAATCAATCTTTAAATATATCAATAATATATTATAAAATTTATTTATTATAGAATTTTTATTATTATTTTTAGAAGCTGAGTTTCTATAATAAATTCACGCGAACGTATAGCGTGTAATGTAAAGAACGTGAAATGGAAATAATCGATCACTGGCGCATCGATCACGTTTGGACAGAGCGATGATTTGTTGATCATTATCTCGTTGTGATTAACGCGGTGTTGTAAGAGGCCGTTAATATATGTATGTATGCTTATCTATTGACAGATTGGCGGCGCGGTAGCCATGTCATCATCGCCGGATCGGCACGGCGGATCATCACGAGGAATCGACGTGGAGCCGGGAGAGAATCATCGTCGTCGGCCCGGTATACTTAGGGCCGCCGAGTAAATAGCCGAGGGATCGGTAATTCAAGGATCGATACCAGCGGATCGATCCACCAGCTCGCAACCTACGGCCTCCTTGCTGGCCTGGCCAGCTACTATGCGAATTGAAGCTCTCAGCACTCTCCTCGTCGCGGTAAGGGCTAATTAAGTAAAAATATTGGACCAATCGCGTTTAAAATTAATGTCTCTTGAAATTTTCTCTCCTAACGTTTAGAAAATTATATGCAAAGAGAGAACGATTAAATTATTGAAAACTTGAAAATCAATTTTAAAAAGAAAAATTTAGAAAAAAAATAAGAAAGTACAATTAGTACAATTGTTGCGCATTAATAATAATTATTTAATCAAAATTAATTTTCAAAGTCAGTTGAAACTTAAAGTGTTAGTAGTAGCGAGGTACTGTTAATAAAATTCTTAATCATGCGCTCGTTGTATGGCGTAGTATGTAAACTCATTGGTTATTTCAATCGTGCACTCCCAGTATACGATTGACGCAACAATCGATATCCATGGCGGTGTCATATTGTGCCGGATGAACGGACGTAACGAAACAATAATTATGATATCCAGCATCGATGCAACGATCATAAAGTACCGCCCGTCGCGTGTGTTATTAGCATATTATCGAGATAGCAGGGTGCGCGCGTACACACAATCGCGTCAACTACGGTCGATAGAGCTATGAACGATGTGTGTTTTTCTCTCCTCAGCCATCGCCTGTCACGGAGGCGCATCGATAAACTTCTAGAATTATGGCGCGGATCGTGCGCTTTCATTCCTTTCATCTTCCTTTCCTCCGCGCAACTCGTCGCGTTTTCCCACAGCTAACTTTCGATATCGTTTCTCGTCTCTCGCTTAAGACTAGTCCGACTCGCGGAAGGCGACAGAATCTTTAATAATGTTCAAAATACCTACTGAGATTCGATTTATCGCAGACTCAATCAATCAATTTGGAAACAATATTTCGTTTAAGAATTAAATCTGCTATCAGGATCTAGGACGATAAACTGCACCTCGAGAGTTAATACATCACACCGAAATCGCAATTAGCATCCGCGGATCAGACGGCAGAGATTATCGCAAAGGAAAAAGCAATATCCTTATCACCGATCGACGTTGCGCACATACCAGTGTTATCTTACATACGCATAACATTATGCGCCGACGACGTACAGATGCACGGCAACGAGTTACTACGCGCCCGTGATATTGATAAATGATAATCATCGGTGCAGCCCGCGCGCGTTGCTCCGATAATTTAATAATGGCATTGCAGATTAGCGGCGTGCACGCACACGCGTGTAAATCGTGTACGCGTCATCGCAGGGCTGGGCCTCACGGCGCGGTATTACTATGCTAATCGGTATCCGACATCGACGCTGATCATGCCTTCAATAAATAATCCTCTTAACTCGGTGTTAAACGGATATGTGCGGAGGCGCATCGGCAACGAGTCCGCCGATTTGCGCAAATGCCGGATGTCACGATGAAGATACGGTCGGCATTTTTGGAGAGCTAGATGTATTGCTTAGGTGGATTGCTTAGCATCATCGCCGTCGGCGTCATCGTTTGAAACTTCAAGAGCGTTTTAAATTTATGCAAAAGTGCGTCGCTCATTACGTTTATTTTAGAAGAGCGCAAAGGGTCTCTGTGCCTACAATTTTTATTATATACCTATTAAGATTTTAATCGAAGTAGCGCATACGCGCGGATATATTTTTTAGCAACGTCAGCGTGTGAAAGAAGTCATTCGCCGACAGCAAAGTCATCGCGAATGACCGAGGAACGACTCTGTAAATGCAAGCAGTTCTATAGGGTTTATCCAATCGATATATGTCTACATACCAGTTTGGATCTAGACGGAAATCGAATACCGCAGTTCACATATCGCTTTCAAAGCCATCGACCAACTACTTCTGTTGAATCATCCGCCTACGTATATCGTTAGTGATCAGCGACTGTAAAGCGAATTTCACGCCTTGTCGCAGATAATATGTGAGAAGAGCTAAAACTGACGATTGGCAGCAGACCAACCAGAAACGAGGCGTGACTTCGCCGTGGTGTCTTGGCTTTTATACAAATGCTAATGCATCAGATTGATTCGTAGAATGCATTAAACAAACTCGTAAACTTTCATATTTATTAGAGACAAATGAGTTGTATAAATGCTTAATAATGACTTAATCGGCTCGACATAAATTAATGAAACCTGTCAAAATAATTTTTTCTGATCGTTGGTAACAAAAACTTATAGCGCTTGATTAAATCGCGCATAATTAAAAAATTAAATTTGCTCTTTTTTATTATTTCGGAATAGCACAATGGAAAAAAGGAGATAGATATATAATATTTGCGTATATGTTACTTACGTATAGCTGTTCACCAATTTGACATGATGCTCCAGGGATCCGTGTCCGTGAACGCCTTCTTCTATTATCGCATGGGCCCGTCGCAGTCGTGCAGCCTGTAATTTAAAACAATTTGGAAATAATATATTACGAATCGCAGTTAGGCATAATATAATATAAAAGAGGGTGGATCTCTGCAGAACTGCGTGCATGCAGGTTCAGTTTTATGCTTTTGCGCGGATGATTTAGTGAGTCGTCGTGGGTGTATTTGCCGCCGGGACGTCGTCCCCTCCGTGTAGTTTCTTTTCTTTTTCGTACGTTCTCACTCGATTATATACCCGATTGGTAGAGAAGAGAAAAGTTATATCAACGTGTATATCACGCGTGGAGATCGACATTCTTTCTTCGTTCAGCTTTGAATCGAATTATAAGAAACGTATAAGAAGGCAAGTCCGCGCTTCCTCGTTTTCCCAATTAACATTCTACTCGTGTCAACGTATCGAACAATCGCGCGATGTCGCTATCCCGCTGGGAGACAGGTGTCGTCGCGACGGGATGTACTGCTAGACACTTATTTTAAGGAAACCGTCGTCGCGTTCTTCAGCTTCCACTTGAATCGCGATTTTGCGCCAATAGAGTATTCGTAAAAAAAAAAAAAAAAAAAAAAAATACACGATGCTTCCTTCTTTGGGCCGATCCCGTTCCGATCTGTCGACCAGCACTCGCAGCCATCTGTGAAATCTCACGTGACGAGCGGATCGTCATTTAATTTGCCTTCGTCAACGAGAGTAGAGGAGAGGAAAAAGAGAGTCCTGCGGTGTCTCACGGAAGGGTACGCGCGCGCGTAACTGTACGCACGATTTACGCACCGTGCGCATCACACGCACGAGATGGCAAGGCGACTAACCAAATATTTATACACGTCAATCATAACACACGGCGAAGCATTCGCTGTCTAAACAGCCCGCGGGTTGTGCCCTCCCATGCGAGCCACTTCGCCGTTGGCCGTTTATTGTGCCGGCCGGCACGCTGGAGGACCTTTCATTGCTCCTTACCTATCTCTAACAGGCACTCGATAGTTGCCGTTTGTCATGCGCTCCACGATGTTTACCTTTTCACGGTGAAAAAAATCACATCGCGCTCGCTTAACTCGCGCCATGCGTCGCGTTGTCGATGCGCAATATATATTGTGACCTCGTCGTATATAGTTACTCTTCCGATTCGTCGAACGAACAAAATTAGACGCGAACGAATAAGGACTTAAATCGTTACCGTGATCCGTCTCGCGGATGACAAAGTGGTTTTCGTCAGTTATCGGAAAAGAATGTTAAAAAGTCAGGATGTGAAATAAAATTCAGGTATTAAGTGATATAAATGCCGTATAAAATATGAAGGATATATCGTATAAAATTTGCAGGATCGCAACGGAATCAGCGAAAATAGTGGGCACGGAACAAGAATCAAGTGCCTCTCTCGAAACGTTTAATAAATGGCAAAACCCTGGTGTTGAAACCACCTTTGGCACTTTGCAATAAGCCGGGAGTACCTCCGGTCTTTATAAATGCACAAAGACTATGCTAATGATACGAGCGCTGCATTGACGGTTGGGTAAACACGGGCCGACTGCTTCGAGTCCTGTCGCGAGTTTATCATGTAAACTGTCTTTAATGATTGCCAGTAAAGGCCAACCAGCCGTTTCAACGCTCTGCTATTTTAGCGACTCAAACTTAATTTGTCGATGCATACAATCATTTAAATCATCCGGAAACACCGATAATTGTTGGATAGTCATCAACGCGTGAAGATCCTCTAAAGAATCATTAATGACGATCTGTCACTTCTGGACAGGATTGACAGGTTGTCGCGACTATAATCGTGAATTAATGAAGGTAATTAAATTTTTTGCGAAATAAACATTTTAAGATTTTTTTTTTTCGAGGAAAAAAGATAAGAACGTATAGAGTCATAATTATTGAAGTGTTTATCAAATTTTTATCTGTGTTCATATTTCAACTTTCGAAGTATGAAGTACACTATCTGTGACGTCTAATCTGTGTTATAGTCGAACACGCGTCGTAAAATCTCACCGGAATGCGATCCGTGGGTCGTTACAAGCGCGTAAAAGCCGAAAGTGCGTTGTGTGCCAAAGCGCGTGCTCTTCTTCGAATGTACACTAATTTAAATGAATGGAGCAGTAAAAGTCGCGGAAGATTACACCCTTTCGTGACGAATCAATTACATATATATACATAGACGTGATCTTGAATATGTTCCTTCCAATGAATGGCGCGAATAAATGACTCCTCATAATTCAAAGTTTATATAGGTATAACTCAGGAGGCTATAAACGTGTGATATTTTTTTGTAATTAAATTTGTCGATATCTCTTCAATGTAATAAAGGCAACTTTTATATAGGTATTATTTTATCGCGATATTTCGCACAATCGAGCTACGATCGAATCAAGTGGGACGTGGCGGTTTTTTCGCGAACATTTCGAAAGAGAGATCTTTCGCCATTTGGAATTGATATTGAAATCAATGGCTTATTAACAAGGGAGAGACACACACAATACAATATCTCATTATTTACGACGTTAACGGACATCTCGGACGCAGGCGGCGACAGGCGTACAATGTAAACGGTACAGTTTCTGCGAACGGGAAACCGCACCGGCCACACTCGAGCAGGCTCATAAATTATCGGCACGCGTTTCTCCAATCGCGGCACCCGCGGTAACCGGAGGTGAAAAAGTCGCGGCCAATGGCGCGAGAGAGAATGCCCGCTGGATTACGTTTGTACCCGCGTTAACTGCCGCCTCCGATCGGCGGTAGAAGGATTTTTACCGCGCGCGGTTCGCCGTCGCGACTTTTTCACGTGAGAGAGTTGCGCTAAGCGGAATTCGCGTTCGCCACATGATTTCGCACGATATCACTCTCTTGTTACGCGAACGCTTGTGTATTTTACGATCGATAATCTCACTGGTATTTCTAGGGTGCCTTTTAAATATAATAACACCTTTGCCTAGATCTCTGCACGGTGTACCCTGTAAATCTCACTACCGGGAGCGATAAATAACGCGCGCCGATTAAATACGCTATTGGAGTTTAAAAGAACGCCAAGATTTAATTAGCCGTTTATTTGCGTTTCTCGCTGCAAGAATTAATGATCCTGTTTGAACGGATGAATTATCGAAGAAAAAAATCTCGTTTTTAATATCTTAAACAATAACGTGTAACACAAAATCCCTCGGATCTCATCTCTTTATCGATATTTTGATCGAAATTTAATCCCTTTCCCTTCTGATAAGTCCTACTTGTAAAATATTCCGAGAAGTCGTCGGCAATCGCTGAGAGATAATCACACCGATGCCTCGCGTATATACATGCATGATTGATAAATTGAGCACTGATTTTTCGGATCGGCAGCCTGCAATGGAAAAGAGAAAGAGAAAGAGAGAGGAGAGAGAGAGAGAGAGAGAGAAACGGGACCCAAGCGAGCACCCACGTGGCGACATAAACATGGTAGGTCGATAAGCAGCGTCCTCATCCGGATACCGGTCCACGATTCTCCGAACGTTATCGGTATCCGAAGTATATCGTAGCTGTGCATATATCGCAACTCTCTCGGACCCGAAGTGCATTCCGGGAGGCATGAGATACGAAGAGTTAGGGGGCTAGTCGGGCCCCGACCGCCGGCTTCGCGGCGTCATCGTCAATGCGTTATGGGACTCTAATTGCGTCACAAATTATTTCCGCCGCTTCCACGTGGGAGGGACGATATTTCCTCCTCTCTGTTGATACACCATGACGGTGAAGACATCCGGGATAAGAGGGAGGTGAATGTGTTATACTTTATCGCTACCTTGAACTTAAGTAACTTTTGGAATTAAGTGTGATTGGTGCGATCGTGTATTATCAGGTCATAGGAGGGTGATTAATTATGGTAACGATACGAAACACGTGAAAGTATTTCTCCCACGTCTCCTATGATTAATCTTCCTTGTGACTCATTAGATATTCTGACAATCAGACAAATGGCGGAAAGATGGGATATCATTGATATAATTGTTACTGATCGATACAGAGTGATCAATAAACGTTTTCAGATAAGAAATACGTGTGGTCGAGATTCGAAATGTAAATTAGAATGTACATAAATTATATATAAAAAAAGGGAAAGTACTTGGAACGCAAAAAAGCAATAAAAACGTCATCTCCGGTTAACTTCACGTTGCATGAAGGCTTATAATGGACCGGTTCATATTTTTGTTCAGTAATCAATGTACGAATTTCTTCTGTATGGAAATATACAGTGTACTTTTGCAAAGGCGAAACGAGTTTGCAATCCGTGTAGCCGTAGCTCAAGCAACTTCTGCGTACGGACGCGCTGTGACGATAAATCTTTATTCGCCGACATTGAAAATGATCGGGGTGGATAAGTTGCGAACTGTCATTAGCCAAAATTGCGAAAACGAGCAAATTGCCCGGCGATTGGAACAGGATTACGAGAGAGCGCGTTTGGCCGGCCGAAATATATCCGGGATTATCTCATCGTACTTTTCGGTCCGAGAAACGCCCGGCTAATTTCAACTTTCGCAGAAAGCATCCGTTTCATTATCGTAAGGAATGCGGGGAACGAGAGAGAAGAATTCACGGTGCTAATTGACGTTTTCTTGGCCCGGGCATGACATCGAGGTAACGGCTTAACTTCGTATCTTTTTAGGAGTATCGCTGTGAAATTTTACGGCTGTGCTTTCTGGTACGAGAAATAATCTTCGCGAGTTAATATAATTATCTATGCGTGAACTGATTTTTAATTGCAAATATATTTTTAAAAGGCACAATTAAAACTGAAAAGAAAATTATTACAAATAATTTTGAATCAAGAAATATACTAGTAACTAGTGTGATCATTGTAATTTTTTTCTTAAAGTCGAATATAACAATTATTTTCTAAAAATATCTATCTTTTTGTGATTTTGATGACGAACGAAAATAACCTAGTTTATTAAAAATAGAATACTAAATTTACATAAAAAGTATAATTTATTAATTAATTCCAAAGATTATACATATAGTTTTATCCGATTTTAATAATCGAATCCTTTGATAGGTTCACTCGTGTACACGATCGAACAATTTTATCACATTGTGATAATAATCATATCTTGATTTAGCGAGCAATTAACGCGAAATATTAAGTCGTGTTGTAATGTCCGCTACCGCGCACTCGGTACATCTCTATACGATTAAAATCGCACTACCATAGCAAGAGAAAGAATTCCTTCCCCGGATGATGCAAGAATTCGATAAGATCACGGGGTACGCGATGTGTGGTCCCGATGTGTGATTACACATCCGTTTAATCCGAACGCGCAGTTCTGTCCAATACGAGTTCCTTGTACACAGGAGGCGCCGCCGCTTAGTTAACCGTTCACCCGGAGAAACGATGGCTTAATTAAACGTCGGCGATGTCGGCTCTATATCGCGTTGTCTCGTTTATATAAACCTCTTTCGTTCTATCTCTTGACAGTATTTCCTAATGTATTATATGAAAGAAAAATGTCATATATATTAGAGATACTTGATAACGCTTATTAACTCTTGATATATATAATAACGCTTACTTAGTTTATTATATACCGCTATAAATTATATGAATAAAAATCTTTGTCGATGCAACATTTTTCCTTTAAAATTAGCTATGAAGAAGAATCCATTTCTTCTTATATTGCGCAAACATACTTTTTAAAGATTATCGATATCGCTCTTTTTCCCGGTATTTTACAACTGTAAATATTACACTTTACGCGAATTTTGAGAAAGAGGATCTTCTTGCGAAGCAATCAAGAAAAGGACGAAGTTGAGCCCAGTGAATGAAACAAGCCGGTTCCGCGTGTTTCCTGCGGTGACGAGTTATACGGCGCAATTAAATCGAAAGTGTGGTGTACCGCGCGAGAAAGAGGCACGCTTACGTATTAATAAGCAGCGAGCAACGGCGACGGCGGCGGCGCCGTGAGGCCTGTTTTGCATAAAAATTATAAGCCGAATTAATGTTTTCACCTTCACGTAAGCTCACACGTATATACCGCGCTCGTTCACGTGTCCGCGGATTCGGGGCGAGATGCGTGACTAACGCCGTGTTTTATTTGCGCGTTCTCGCGTACCAGTCTCCGACGCTCTGTCCGGTACTTTCCCACGCGCGATCCTTCGTCGATATTATATTATCAAGACAATTCTAAACTGACAATACGCAAAATGTTTATTATAAAATTATGCGTCTTAGCCGATGAGTAATAGGCAGGCATGTTGCGACTATTAAGACATACGTATATATATATTATACTTGTTGCAATAGAAATATATTTACTTGACTGTTGCCAGACGTGAATAAAAATGCATCTACTTTAATAAATGACTTAATAAAGATTATAGAAATATTTGTTTGTATGGAAATTTGAATGTATAGTAGGTACCTACTCTTAAGTAGATATAAATGATACCTAATCGTAAGTAGATATAAATGATAAAAGTTGCATAACTATATTGATATATTTATGTTTTTAATTAGTAAAATTGAGAGAGAAAAAGAGAGAGAGACCAGATGTCAAATATGTGAATAAATAATTTATGCGTTCTCATGATTCTCGTTGCAGGTGGTTTGGCTGACCGCAGTCCTGTGCCCGCGGCTTACTGCCGCCAACAATCTGACTTTAGCCGTCTCCTCTCGAAGGTCCAGGGAACAGCCTTCCAGACGACATATTGCTCGCTGGTAAGTAAAGATTTTCGCGGACAAAGATGACGGAATAAATGAGAATATAATTATTATTAAATGTGCTCTGTCAATCTAATTGAAGCATGTAAAAATCAAATTTAATCTTTTTCAATATTTACAACAATTTTTAATCAAGATTCTTTTTTTGTTGGCTTTCATTTAATAATATTTGCGAATAATAATCGATTGAAATGTGTAAAAACGCGGTGCGCACACTTGACGTTTATTATTTAACGTTTGTATTTGTACGCTATTCGTATTCAGTATGTTATCTTAATTATTATCATTGCTATACATAAAATGCTAATATAATAATAATATATATATAAAACGAAGTAAAATATCATGTCTCGCGAAACTTTTTTTAAATCGCCACAACATTCTACCGCGTAATTTAGATATGGGCGCGGTCACATAGGAGGAATATCGTTTCCTCCTCTGTGTGTATGTGTTTGTGTGCGAGTGTGTGTTTGCGGCGAGCTAAATCTGATTTAAATTCAACGGGGTTCAGCGTGGCGTAGCACCAAGTACAATTTTCTTTTTTCTTTTTTTTGGCATATTTTTTTCATTAACTCGCTTGTTAATACGACGATCATGTTTTACAGGGCAACAATTAGAATTTGATTCGAGAAAAATTCTCTATATATAACACATGTCTTCTGCCTGCACTCTCAAAAAAATTAATATAGTAAAGAGACGTTTGATTGCGAAAGAATAAGTGATTGAAAATAAGAATCGATCAAGTAGCAGGAATATCTGCCATTGCAGGATAGTGCCACTGGAGGAGCCAACAAACAAGCGAACCCCATATCGAGAGATGAAGATGATCCTGCGTCAGGAAGGAGGCGAGGACGGCAACCCGGTCGATTGCTGTCCTATGATATTTGAAACGGTGCAACCGCTCGGTGGTCGAAATCGACAAGATATGTACGTTGACCTCTATCGAGACGTCAATAATGTCCAAGGTTCTTCGAGCTTTCTTGCAGACCAGACGTTCTCGATAAGCCATGCAGGTTCATCGACCGGAAGTTCGCCAACCAGTCTAGATGTGTACAACAGTTCTCGTATTCGTACGCTATCATCCAGAATCCTGGATCGAAGGTATGATCACGAATCATCGAAATTCTCTATCACAATTTCATCATTCATAATACATTTTTTATTATATAGAAAAAATATGAAAAAAATATATATTAATATTTTTTAAATTACGATTTTTTTACTATTATATGAATCTATTTAAAATAATGTATAATTATATAATATGTATAACGATTAAGCGGAATTAAGAGATATATAATTAATGTAATGATTTTCTCATTCAGATTGGAATAGAGGAGCACAGAAGACATCATCATAAAGAACACCATCAAATACCCCCTCCGTTTCCTGGCAATAGCGTAAGCGGGTCTGGATGGACGTTAGATTATATCAAGGTGCGAAGCGGTTGCAGCTGCGAGATCATGCCGAAGCCGAAAAAGAAGAAAATCGCAACCAAGATGAGGAGAACGAAGAGCAAACAGCGTCAATCGAGGGACCAAGAATTGGACTTTGAGACGTGAAAGTATTGACTCGCGTTTTAATGACAAGTACATTGTACGTGTAATTGTGTTACTTATTTGCGAGTGACTCAGAAGGATAATCGAATGCGAGACTACATAGAACAAGGATGCATGTATATGAAGGGTTATCAAATATTTGTCAGATAGCAGGACGTAATGAAAACGTTACCAACGATCGTATCATCGATTTTCTGATGACAATTAAGTACATAATTAATTTATTAGACATTATTGCGTAGAACGCGTCGTTTCGTAAATGATGCGTTTGCCATCAATAGATTTTGCAAGTGATATCCTTGGTGCTTCGTTTATGAAAAGCTCTTTTAGCGTATTTTAAATATTTCTTCCTATTGATCATAAATGTTTTAATAGAAAATTTGTCGCAAATTAAACGTAAGTGCAATTTTCGCGGAAATCACTTGCCAATTTTAAAACGATATAGCAATAAATTGACAATTATTAAACGTATATCAAGACAACGAATGTAGCAGTTGATTGATGCGTGGCGATTCAAAAGCAATATTTGAAGATAATATCGGGATAATTTCATTAATTTTTATTTTAATTTACGGGACACGCGTATGTTTTGATGCGCGTTTTATTTAATTTAATACTTTAGCTTACTAAATCTAATTTTTATTTTACTGGCGGCCAGTTTTTATTCTGTATTTTTATTTTTCTGTATATTATAAATTTGTATGTACTCGGTAATTCATATAATACAGTAATAGATATAGTATTTTAATTAGTATCTAACTCGTCTATGTATAGATCTGTAATGCACGTTATTGCGTCAAAATAATGTGTGTGAATCATAGTCTAAAATTTATTTAATTAACCTCTGGTGCAAAGTACATACATATATAAACACACGCCTAAGCTAATAGGAAAAACGGACTAGAATGAGTAAGATATGCCCGGATGTGCCAATATACAACCATGACAATGATTAATAAATCTGATTATTATAAGGGAAAGAAACTACTTGTAAAACTGTTAAGATTAAGTTTTGTTTCTCTACAGATTTCCATTGCACATCGATATGATGCATATAAATAAAAGAAATGGTGCAATCAGATGGATAAAAGAACTGGATAAAATTTTTTCCTTATCTCCTTCCTATAATTTCTTGTATCGCACATTTAACAGTTTTATTTATACTATGCATTATTGTGATGCGCAATGTAGATTGCGGAGATCTGTATTTTTTTTTAATTTACATAGCAAAATAACCCTATATATTAATGCATAAATTTTTGAGAAATCTTTAATGTACATATTTTTGTGGAAAATAAGCAATTTGCTGTTTTATATCACAATGTTTATTTATGTATGTTTTATAGTATTAACATGATTTTTTAATTATTCTCGATTCGTATTCCTCATCGTAACTGCCACATATTAATAGTTTGAATGACTTCGAGTTAATAATATTGTTGTATTATATATATATATATATATATATATATATATATATATATATATGTATGTATATATACACACACACACATACGTAACACCGTAAACATGCGGACATTTTCTGTATCACCGTGTGGTGTAAACATTTGTACATAAAATATTATTAATATACTTGTTATAACATCTAATTTAATCATATATCTTTTTTCCTATGATATATGATTTCTTTTGAATAAAACAGTTAAGCAAGACCGAAGAATAGAAAAATATATATTTTTAATAAATTTTTTACTAAAAAAAGTCTGTAGAAAATAGATAAGTTTTTCAGTTTCGTAAAAATAAGACTATAGAGTTTTTTGTTATTATTTTAGTTTGTTACTTTTTATTCTTATCATAAGATGCTGGCAAAAGAGAGAGGAGAGGCGAACTATCCTCGTAGAAGTTTTGGAAACACTATGCAGGAATCACCGATATTTCAGAATTGTCATTATGTTTTATATTTTACTGAATATTCAACGTCGAAAAAATCGTGGAGATCGCACCAGAAACTTCGCCGATATAATTATTTATTATAAAATATTACCCAAAATTAAAATAAATAAAAATGTTGAGACTTACCGATACGATGCACAGCAAGACAGTTGTAAACTGTAAAATATAAATAATACAAAATTTTATTATTTACATTGAGAATACTTAATTAACAATTAAATATAAATAATAAATAAATAATTTACCATATAATTGCTCTGACGTTGCCCGATGCCACCCCGAGCCTCCTCCTCGTAGATGATAAGCACTTGCACACACACTCGCGTTACTTTTTTTCGTTCGCGACGCGCGGCGACGTCCGGGTTTTAATTATTACATTTTTGACGCGTTTCGGTAAACCGCGTAATCGCGTGCTGAGAATCCGACCGATAACGCCGAAGAATTCGAGAAAACCGTCGTAAACTTGGCGATTCGAGTCGGAGCTGTGACGTCACGGGGTCTTTTGGAAAGACGAAATGTTATGACGAGCGAGAATTCGCGGCCGAGATTGATTTCGAGCACGAAATCGCGATCACGATGTCCGGAGACGCGACGCGATCGCATTTATACAATAATCAATGATGTAATGACATTGTATAATTAATACTCACGCTCACAGTTTCACAGACCGGACCGACGCGCGGTTTTCGCGAACATTGAATACGAGTGATTCGAAAATATAGCAGAGGGCACTCTCCACGCTAAATTCTGTTCGACCAATCAGGACAGAGGGATCCTCGGTTTCTGATTGGTCTGTCAAATTTCGCACTTTGACAAACAGATTTCCGAACGCAATCCTCAAGTTTCCGTCGACCCTTCGCGTGTGGTCCTACGTCGTCGTTTCTCGGTGCCTTCTTCAGGGAGAGACCTTCCGGAATCCTCCTGGAATCCGCTCGTGTCCGAAGAGGAGCGCGAGGGAGGTGAGACAGGGATAAGGAATAAGATTCGCGCACGGCAAACGCAGGGCCGCCGATCGCGCGAAGCGACGCGATTAAATGAGACGGGGCAGTACTTCGGCAAGTACTACGTCTCGTGCGGGAACGCTATGTCTACGGAGACCACCCTGAACGTTGACGTGCCGAACGTCGCGTCGAGGCTGCAGGGTCTGCGGCTGGCGACGCACGGCGAGGACGAAGGCGACGTGACGGAGAACGCGACGAGCAGCGGTTCCACCGGTGCTGCCAGCGGATCGTCCTCGTTGCGGGAACCGCTGCGGAACATCACCCTCTCCCGGGCGCGGCGAGCGCTCAATTTCGTCGTCGATGAGGAACAGCCGACTACGAGCTCGTCCGTGGCGCGAAGCGAGGCCTCGTACTCGAACGGCGATAAGTAAGTAGCATTTTGACAGTTTGAAAAACATCAGTCTTACGTAAGCTAATATATAGCTGATTGTTGTTTATATTTTGAAAAAAGTGTTTTAAATGTATTTTTTATTGCGTTCTTTCTCTGACGGTATTCATTCTTCGATAATCCCTAATTATACTCTTGAATTTTTTAGCCGACCACCTATTAATGCAGCAAATACGTCATATTTGGAAGGGCGACCACAGAATAGTATCTCCTTGGAAAACTCTTCCACGCAAAATCAGCCTGCGGTTACATACAATTGGCAAGGTACAAAGGCAACAATGCGTGAGAGGATTGTATTTCTCTTTAATAATGAAATACTATCAGACGTGACCTTTCTGGTGGGAAGAGGAGCGCAACAACAACGTATACCAGCTCATAAACTAGTCCTGTCTTCTGGAAGCGCTGTATTTGATGCAATGTTTAATGGAACGCTTGCTACAGCTTCTTCAGAAATAGAAGTACCTGATGTAGAGCCTGCTGCATTTTTGGCAGTGCTCCTTTTTCTATATACTGATGAGATACAAATAGATCCTGAAACTGTGATGACAACGCTGTATACCGCTAAGAAATATGCAGTATCCGCTTTAGAAAAGCATTGTGTTGATTTTTTAAAAAATAATTTGACGAGTGATAATGCTTTTTTGCTGTTAACGCAAGCTCGTCTGTTTGACGAACCGCAATTAGCCTCAGTATGTTTGGATACGATAGATAGATTCACAACTCAGGCCCTCAATGCAGATGGATTCACAGACATTGATATTGACACATTGATGATAGTCTTGGAAAGAGATACACTTCGTGTTAGGGAATCTAAGTTATTTCAGGCCGTTTTAAGGTATGTTGCAACATTGTAGAATGTTTTTTTATTTTATATAATGCTTGAATTTTTGTATAGGTGGTCAGAAGCTGAATGTGTAAGACAGCAATTATCAGTTACTCCGGAAAATCAACGTCTGGTTTTAGGCAATGCTCTATCTTTGGTTCGTTTTCCACTTATGTCAAAAGAAGAATTTACAGCGGGTCCGGCACAATCTGGCTTATTAAACTATTCAGAGGCTAGTATTACTATATCTCTTAAGAATCTTCTTTGTAAGTTTTTTTATTATATTTTTAAGAAAAGTTTATAAATTATAGGAAACCTATATTGCATGATATTTAATAAATTAATATCTTATAGGTTTTATCTTTATTTTCATATTTTATATTGAATCCCAAACCTTCAGTGGGATTTCAAACAATGCCTCGATGTTGTATGACAGGCAAAGAACAGACTGTATGCAGATTTCAGCATACGAAAAGTAGATGGGGATATTTTGGAACTAGTGATCGTATCCGGTAATTGTGTTCAAATTCTACCATAGGACATAATTAATAATGATCGTGCAATGCTTGATTATAACATATTTTAATTTTTGTAGGTTTAGTGTGGATAGGCGTATTTTTCTTATTGGATATGGAGTTTATGGCAGCACACAGGAACCAGCAATATATGAAGTATCAGTGGAATTAATTCACACTGCATCGGGAAAAGTGATAGCCACAAATGCAACAAGTTTCAGCTGTGATGGATCAAAGTACACATACCGTCTAATGTTTAAAGAGTTAGCGGAAATCTTACCAAATACGATTTATACGGCATCAGCAACTTTCAAGGTTCTTATATTGCAATTTGCTGAGTTATTTAATTGTTATATATGTACAATTTTATAAAAAATATGTATATTTTTTAGGGGCCATGCTCATATTATGGCACAAAAGGATTAAGAACAGTATTGGTGGATTGTGATTCAGGAAATACAAAAGTAAAATTCGAATTTAGTAGTGAATTGGGAGATAACAATGGTACATCCACTGATGAAGGTCAAATACCCGAGCTTATCTTTTACACGTAATAAATTATGTGTAATTATGACATTCCTCAAGTTTGCTTGATTAATTATCAGAGATAAATTAAAGTGAATATATATGCCGGGTTTTGTCAATTATATATCTTGTGATCATTTAAAATACTTTAAGTGAGCCACACACAGGCATGCCAAAGGAGTTAACCCAAGATTTTTTTATAATTTTATAGATAATCCTCTTGATTTTACTAATTATTTTGATTAATAAATATAAATACTAAAATATATGCAAATTTTATAATAATGTTTGCAATATATTAATGAGATTATATGCGTTTTTAATTTACAAAAATATATACAGAATAAATTGTTTCTCAAAATTTAAATATTAAAATTATTTGAATGTATCAACTGTAGAGAGTTGATATATTAATTATATAAATAAGATTAAGGTTTAGATTGGAAATGTACAATCTATTTTTTTATTATTTTAATTAATCTATCAGAAACCAAAAATATAGTATAATATTATATGACAATGTTAAGAAATCATGATTAAGTACAAGAGGAAGATTGATCATGTGCATATTTTTTCGCCTAAATATTTCTCGTTTAAAATATGTATACTGACAATTTGAAATTGTAACAAGTTAAATATTTATAGCACTTCAATGCAAAAGTAATTAACACAATAAAGCCTAAAGTATGTGGAATATTTTTTAGTAAAAGGTAGTACTTTAACAGTAACAAATTCAACATAGAATCAGAAAAACTTGATTACTACAATTAATTATAAAAGATAGTCAAACAAAAAGTAATATAAAACATTACTTTGAATTACACTATAGTTCTTTGACAAAATAATATTGTAACTTATTCAACAGTTTATTTTAATTAATGGAATTTACTTTTTTTAAATAATTCAAGAAAATATGTTTGGATTTTGACTTGTTAATAATGAATGGTGCTAGCTAATGAGATAACATTGTTATCATTAGCATTTTTAGAGATAAGCATACTTTATAAGTGTGTCAATCTGTTTTTCGTGAAATGTGCATATATACGATTTTATTTGTGATTATATTTAATTATAAATTGAAATAATATACATGTAAAATGTTAAATAATTAAACAGATTTATTCCACAAAATATTTCCTAACATCATTATTTAATATATAATAATACTGAAGAAAGACTCCCTATATTAATAATTAAATAACTTTGAATTAGAAAGGCTGAGAGAGACCCGATTGCGGATATATGTGCATATAGAGACTGCGAAAATTTAAATTTTTTGTAGTTTTATAATTGTGCACGAGGCACAAAATACGCTTAGCACATTGCTAAAACTTATTTAAAACAATCTCTTGAAATATTCCCCACAAAGTCTTCAAAGACTATCGAATTCTATCTTGCCATATGACAAACATTCATAAGATAGATTATTTTTTAGTCTCAAAAAATTCACTAAATTATGACGATTCCTTAACACGTGATAAAATGAAATGTAATTTTTGTTGAGATTTTTTAATATATAATTTTTTACATACATCTATTTCTATTTTTTTATTTAAGCATTTCGATTTTTACGAAAATACAAAATTTAGATAATAATGAGTTTGAAAAGCAGCGGGAACGGATAAAACATGGCGGACCAATCAAAAGTGGTAACCGTATGGCAGGATCTCTACAATTGCAGTGTCGTGTCGAGAGTATTTGTGTTGTCCAATAATCCATTGTTGTATTAGTTACGATCGAGTGGTTTGTAAAATCGAGTGAATTTATATTTGTTATGTCGTAGCAAAATACACAATCACCGATAGGTGACAATAAAGCGTTCGCTGTAGATTTTAATCCAATTTAGATGCTTAAAAGTAAAGAGTTGTTCGTTTTATAAAAAGAACGTGTGTGAAATTGTCAATCTTCTTCATACTGAAGCATAACCTAATTTTCCAATATAATTTCTGGGCTCTGATAATGGTTGATAAAACTTTGTGGCGCATATGTTAATAGAGATTGTTACATATCTCCTTTTCGCCTGGCATTATCTCACATATGTACATATATGGCTCATTTCTGATTTAAATATACAACATTTGAAGATGGGGTCATGAGAATTGCCATATTGCACTTAGTAACATACATTTCACATGGCTAAGGGAAAAATAAAAGGTTCCGACTCTAATAATAAGGTAAGCTTATACTGTGTGTATAATTTTTGTCTTCTCGCAGTTGTAAATATAATTTAATTAATGTAATAATTTATGCGATTAGATACCAGCATCAAATGCAACATTCAAAAATGGGGAGACGTATACATGGGAGTTTGAGATTAACGAAACACCACCTAGTGCTAGAACTTTGCTTACCAAGGGTTATACACAGGATGAAATTAATTCGTATTCAGGTATATTATTATTTCAATATATACAATATTATGTGATGGTATATATCTTTTATAAATTATTGATTTTTTATTTCACGTTTATTTAGGAGCAACTGTATCAACACGCGGACGTTTTATGACAGAACAGGAAAAACTACGCTGCCCAAGTGAAAGACCATTGTATTTGTATATACAGGGACATACAAAACATAATGTTGATTGTATGTATTGGTTATAATTTCCTTTTCTTTAGTTTTATTCATAAAGGTGCATTATTGTAATAAATAATTTTATTTAACAGTGGCGATACAAAAGATCAATGAAATTATTAAGACAGAACATCAAAGTTCTCTAAATAGACCAAGTAGATTTACAAATGCTCCACCGCCTCTTATGAGTTTACATTCCGGAATTACAACTGTGGTAAATAATCTTTCTATTCTATATTTTATTTCTAATTATAACTTTTTATGTAGCAATATTAACTGACATTTCTATAAATTATTAGGAAAAGATTTGCATTGGTATCGAGAATGCTCCGCAAGGTTTTGATTTACGTGGGCGAATACTAGGTGGTGGTGATGCAAATTTAAGTTATATTAGAGGTGAAACTGGAGCAAATGTTACTTTAAGAGGTAGAGGATCCCAGTTTATTGATCCAGTGTTTGGAGCAGAATCTCCAGAACCTCTTCACTTGTATATAGAGTAAGAACTTCAGAGATTTTAAGCAATTTAATAATTAAGTAGAGTTAAGTTATTAATAAGATATTATTTTTATTTAGACATCCAAAGCCAGAAGCATTGCAAAATGCAAAACAATTGGCTATTAATTTAATACAGACAATACAGTCTGAATTACAGACCTATATCCAACAACAACCACCACCAGTACAACCTCAACAAGTTATAGAACAATCACAGATACCACAAAGTATGTATTTTATCACCTTCTATTTTCAAAATTGCAATAATTGTACACAGAAATTGTGTAATAATATTTTTTTCTCTTTATGTAGCTCAATTTCAAACAATGAATATTGGTACCTTAGGCCAACCAAATGTGGTTGCAATACAACATCAAGGTAAGATATACGAATTATATTTTATTAATATTTCTATGAAAAATATATATTTTTTAAAAATGAATTTTATTTGGCAGATATTATACAACATCCACAAAGTAATGTTGTAACATTGCCTGCAACAATTCTTACGGCTACTGTAGCTGGTACTCCAGGGCATGGTGTATCAGTTCCTCCTCCAGGAGTTCATATACCATCTCATACTGGACCATTAGTTCCACCTTCACAAGCTCAGGTAGTTAGCTGGTTATGCATGATTAAACTCGAATTAGACATTTTACATAAAATTGCTCGAAGAAAATAAATTTTATAACATAAATGAACATTCTGATTGAAGGAAATACAGACTTTTATTCCACCGCCACCTGTTGGGCAAGTACAGTTAATCGGTCCTCCATCGACAGTGAGTCAAGTCCAATATCAGATACATCCTGGTCAGCCATTACAAATCCAGGGAATTCAACCAGGATCGCAGTCCTCACCACAGCCTGTGGCTCAAATGTACGTCATGAGTCAACCGCCGCCACAGAATCCTGGGCAGCAAAGTTTCATAACGAGCAGTAACGCGCCAGTGAGCGGGGCAGTATCATATGTATGCACACAACCGAATATGCAGAGACCTGCCACGCCATCCCAGGGAATTATCGAAACCGTTAATGTCAATTTGCAACAGCCTCCTCCCGCAGCGCCGCTCAATATAACGCAGCAACCGCCACCACCGTTGTTGCACCTTCACTTTCCACCGCCGAACTTTCCGCCAAATCAACCACCGCCTCCTGTACCGCAAACCTACCAGATTCAGTATCAACAGGTACAGGCACCCGTGTCACAGGCGCAAACCCAGTTTGTTTTGCAACCCGGCGAGCATATCGTCCCACCTCAGCTGCAACAAAATCACGAGCAGTCTCAGGCTGTCGCTCAACACATCATACCTCCGCAATTCGAAGGTCACGGGCCACCATTTCATTTACAAGTACCTCCGCCGTCTGCGCAAACTTTTCTAGTTCCCAACGCCCAATCGCCCCAACATCATCCACAACCGCCTCTTCCTCCCGCCAGTGAGATTCAGCATCAGCATCAGCAAGAAGGCCCGGTGGAACAGGGACCGTTGCCACAGCCGGTACCACCTCCGCAAATAGTACCGCCACCGTCGATCAATCAGATGCCGAATTCCATGAATATTCTCACCAGCGTACCGCCACCGACTCAGCCACCTCCACCGCAGAACGCTCCCTGGCTTTATCAAGCTCAGCAGCCGCAGCAAATGCCGCAAGGACAATTGCAGGTTGGATATTTTGTGTCATATCTTTGTCGTCCATTGCACATGATTAGTGATCTAGTATTAAAAATAAGTAATTTACAAAATGTAGAGTCGATCAATTTTTGGCTTCTGAGAGGTACACATGCGAAAAGGAGATATAATATATATATATAATATAATATATATAATATAATAATAATAATAATATTTATTATTATTATTATTATTATTATATATAGATTTTTCAATTGTTTATAGATGCAAATGCCGCCGCAGAATATACCTCTTCATAACGTGCCACCGCCGCAAGTTCAAGCTCAAATACAATATCATCCTCAGCATATACAATATCAAAATGGTCATATACCGGCGCAAATGCATTATACGATGCAACCGCCACATCAGCAATTCGAGCAGAAGCCCGATTCGCCGGAACAGCAAAAGTCGCACGGTGTAAAAAGACGGTTTTCAGATATTGAGGGAGGTCAGGTAAAGTATTTGCCACAAATATATTCATATCAAATTGAAATGCGTGATTATATACATGATAATTATTACATTTACATAAAAGATTTTTTTTGAATTTATATTGCAGGAATCACCACTGTCATACCAATGTGCTCCGCTTCCTGCACAACGTCATGGCACAGGGTAAGTCAAAGAGAATATAATTATTATTCATAAAACAAGAGAAAGAAAAAGAAAACGAAAAAAGAATTAAAAAGAAAGAGAAATGTTATAATATTTAAATTAATATAATAACATCGGTAAAAGAAAAATTATATTATATACTCCTTGTATACATGTAAATTATGTAGTCTACCTGTATATAATATAAGGAGTATGTAATTTAATATCCAATTCTTCTAATTTTATGTTTAATTGTAGCTCTTGGTAGAGAAAAAATTTATATACTTGAGTAAAGGTTTACCAAGAGTGAATAATTTTAAATCAGTATTATTAAGAAAAATTGAAAATATTCAATATAAAAGACTAGCATAAATGTGCAATAAGTTTAATTGAGAATTAAAATTTTGAAAAAAATATATAAAGAAAAATGATTTTATTGACAGAAAAAATTGATAAAAATCAAATGCTTCAGATTGCTTATGCTTCATTTATAATTAAATAAATGTTTATAAATTATTGTAGAATTAGACATGAAGAAAATGTAAGTTACGTGCCATATACTGTATATTATGCCGTATTCTTACAGAAACCTGCTTCTTGCATTATCTAATGAGGCATTGCAATAGATATAAAAGCGCGGAAAATAAAAATATAATCAAATTTATATAAGATTTTTGTCATAGATATTTTTTCATATTTTGACAGATATATTAAGCTATATTTTTTCACGAAATTTCATAATATAGTTAATAACTATGGGCAAAACTCATTGGTTTGGTAAGATCCAGATATATCCTTATTAATAAATTATTTATAGAGAGAGAAAGAAAGCGGTCTCTTAATAATATGTATTTAATCCAAAGTAAAAAATTTACATTTTTCGTTTTACTTTGATATATGTCTGGCAATTTTGTGATTATGGATATATCTTGCTCTTCCATAAAATATTATTTCTTTCTTTAGATTGACTAATTGTATAGACTTTTTTTTTATGGAACAATTTTATTATCTTTGTAAAAATAGTGCAAAGATAATAAACTTTCTTGCATTTTCCTCATGTTATCTGTGATTCTGTAACATCGGAATCACTAAATACAGTTTTTGCCAGAATCACTAATTGTTCTATGTTCTCTTAGTGATAAGCCAAAAGAGATGGAATGCGACAATAGTTGCTACTTTGCGGAAAAAACACAGCAGCTAAAATAATTAACAAATTATCTGAATGTATGTTGTAATGTCTTGTGACATTACAATTATGTTTCTAAGAACATTCTAACGTACGTTTTGATATGATTAACTGTGATCTGGTAAAACCAGGTATTTTCCATATTTCAGAAATATCCAAGGGTGTGCATCAGGTGATTTTTGTCTTAAATGCTTGAAATGTTTCTGTACAATCGTTAATTTGGAATTAATAATTCGCACCTGCATTGTTTAAGCAGAGAAGGTGATCGACAACAACAAGTCTTACACGGTCCATCACCCATACCTGCTGGTCTGCCACATGGAGATAGAAACAAGATGCTTATGCCTCCTCCACATCCAGGTCTGTAACTAAGAGTATTTAGTTTGAAAAAATGCTGGATATCTTTTGGAAAAATTCGCGAAAAATGCAATATATAAAATACTATAAAAAAATATGTAAACCAACAGGAAGATTGTGTTCTTGAGGAACATGCGATTTTTTTCTTGATTCAGATTCCGGCTTCCTTCTTGAATACAACTTTGTTGTTGGTAATGATATTTTTTATTATATATATAATCACGATGCACTTATATGGATGCAATTTGGAACAATATGCAATAATTATTTATTTTAATCATAAAGTATGTTTTGAATAGGTATCTAGCATTGTTTTCTTAATACTCTTAGATCATAGTGTATTATTAATGTAAATAATATTTTGTGGTAAGCGCATAATATATAAACTTTCTTTGATCTTTTAATTTTCGTCTTAGCAAACTGCTTTTTTATGCATTTGTTGAGGATACCTGCAGACACGGACATCCGGAAATAACATGGATTATTATAATCTGACACTGCATAGAGAAAATGCTTTAGAGTATATATAATTATATCTTTAAATTTCTTTATTATATTATTATTTTAGACCAGACAAAAAAAGCACTGCACGTATTATATAATCGTGAAAGTGCTTCAAGTATATTGATTTCAATGTTTTTTTTTTATAATGTCTTTTTTATTGAACAAATCTGCATTTTCAGATGCGCAAGTGTAACCTGTGATTTTCTACTTCAGTGTTTGTTTATCCAGTATTAACCATGCTTACTGTTATTAGAATTCTGTTAAGAAACATATGTTACACATATATTTTTAATATTAGTATTTTAAGTTCAATATCTTGGATTTATATTTCTTAGGTTAAACGCGTCTGCGCCCGATTATACCCATCCAGGAAGAATAGAGATGATTTATATTGCGTTCTCTCTCGGACAAATATATATTTATTTTTATATAGATAATATAATATTAATATGCAAAATGTGTATATTTAGAGAAAAAATGAATTACAATAATCTATATATAATATCACATACAACATTATTGAAATATCGTTCCTGTTGCAGTGGCCTGAGCAATTGTGAAAAAAGTGAAAAAGATTTGAAAAAAATTTGAAAAATATAGTTTTAACAAATAAATAAATTTACTTTACAGATGGCAAATAACTGGTATGGCTTCAAATTATTAGTGGAATTGATTATATTTATTAAGCGGTAACCATCTAATATATATATAAGAATGTAAAAATTGCATTGCTTGCTTTCAGACTCTAATAGCGATTGCCAAATCGCTCTGCTAATTTGGCAATGGTTAATGGCGTGAAATATTGTGCTAATATCTAATTTAATATTATAAGATTAGACTCGGGAATTTCTAGAGAACTAAACTTTTCTTTTTAATGCTCTAGTGATCTCTCAAGTGGAAGATGAGAAAACCGGCAGCAGTCTTCTTATAATACGGATATGATCTTGTTATGCAACTATTTTGCTATTAGATTTGCATCCAAATTTAGAAAACATTTGCTTTTATATTTTACGTTTGTGATCGATGAATAGATATTGAAATTATCAAGATTAATTATGTTGAAAATAGCAAGCTTTATTTTACAATATTTCATCGCGTAATTTACCATATGGATATACAACATTATGTTGTATATATAGTTATATAAGGAATATACATTGTATCATTTCCTTCATATCATTCATCTTAATCGTTTAGGTGAGAAACGGAACTTGGATCAAAAGCCCGCAGGTCTATCTTCAGGTATGTCGGGCATATTGTATCGCATCATGTTGTAAGAGATTTCTTGTTTGAACGTAATTTCAATGTGCACGATGTATGTTGCAAACAGGAAATGAGAATGTAATGACGGAATCTGGAAATATCCTTGTCGGAAACGGTCCACCTCTACCGCCTCCGCCATCGCCGCAGGCACCCTGGCAAAATCATCACATGAGAGTTCCTTGGGGTAGACCACCACCGATTCCAAGGGAAGGAGAACCATCCGCATGTCCCGGATTACCTCCTATTAACATGCCTCCGCCGCAGATTAGGCCAAGGGGTAAAAACAATTTGATTCATTATCGCGCGAGTTGTATATAATTAAATTAAATTTTAAACGCTGTTTATTTTTTTAAATTATATAAATTTTTTCTTTGTATCGGAGATTCGACATTAATTGATTTTTGTGACACGCGAGATATGTGACGTATTCTATTTAAAAATCTTCAAGGACGTGGTGCTGCTGTCCTCAGGTCCCGCTGACGGTAATCGTTCTCCTACTCAAAACGCCGTGTTAGAGCAATCTTTAAACGTCGAGTACAATCAAATGCCGCCCTACACGACGAAGCCGCCTCCTTACAATGCGCATCCATTGATGCAGTCGATCTGTAATCCACCACCGCCACCGCCGCCTCATCATCAACAACCGCGGCCGCAGCATCCCCCCCAAGCGGTGCAGCATTATCAGGTGCCAATTTCTCAGACATATCAGCCACCGACATCCTGCCCACCATGGATGAATTGAAAGTTGACAAACTACAGCTATGTTCTTGCTCCAATACTTTTGACAGTGATTGATGGATTTGACTTTATCAAACGTGACGTTGTCATAATAAAACGACGATTAAACCACAACGATCTGATGTAAATGTGAATATTTTGAAGTGCAATATGTTACTTTTGCACTTTGATTGTTCCTTACAATAATTATTGTAATTTATTAATCTATTTGTATAATAATTCTTGTACTCTTAGCTGTTATAATTTAACAATCTATTCCAAGGAAAAGACGTTACTGAACAGCATATAAAAATATATGTAAATGTTACGGGTTATTTATATTAAAATCCTATATACACAATTTAGATCCTGTACACTTAGAGATGAAAGAAAGAGTGTGCATATGTGTGTGTATTTGTGTGTATGAACGAGAGAAATACACAATATAAGATTGTGTAATGAAAATAATGCCATGTTGACGAGATAGTTACTTAAATTAATTGCAGAGTTAGTCTTGACATGCATGAAGCGTAACTTATATACAGATATAGTATACAGCGAGAAGAAGAGATGAAACAACATTATTACTTTGGTCAAACAGTTCTATCATTGCGCGTTCGTAAAGATCACTTGTTTTGTATTCGCACTCGAGTAATAATCACATCTCTTTCTTCTCAGCGCGATATACATCATTTCACCATTTACTTTTAGAGATAGGTATAGAGTATAAAACATGTATAACAATTGTGCATACGCGACTTTTTATGCAAAAAAAAAAAATCAATAATAAGTTATTGTCAATTAAATAGCCGGTTTATATCGATAATAATCGCTTTCGAGAGCAGACTGCTATTTTCTACGTCGACACGATCCGGCAAACAGTGATAAAACCGCACCGTTTCCATTTGCAGCGAGCAATCGTCGCAATTAGTCCTGTTAAATGCCGCCGGGTAAGCGAGAGGAGGGGCCATCACCAGAGTAGTAGCAGCGATGATCAAATCCCTGACCAAGGCATCCGTGTTTCAGGACGAACGCGGAGGGGGAGTGAAATTCCGCTCGATACAAATTCGATAAAGCCACTGCCGACCCCCAGGTCTCGTTATTCGGATCTGGCGGTTTCCTATAGCCGCTACGTTAGAAAACTCGCGGCCCTCGTCGAGTTCCACGACCACGTTATCGATACTTCGGAGAAGTTTAATTTATCGGAGGTCGTCATCGTGGCGTGAATTCTTCATCCGAAAACGCAAAAAAATCGGGAATGAATTTTTTACAGCCGCTGCTGTATTAATTTTCGACGCGTTTCACGTTCGTACGGCGTCAATTTTAAACTTGGCGATATATCTTATACAGGATATATTTTTCAATATATACGATTCTTGAAATATAATTAATTAATTTAGTCTTAGTTGTTATTTAAAATTTTTACAAGAAAAATATATGCTTCGTTAAATTTGGAACATTTCGTGGTGAAAAAAATCGATACGATTAGTGTCGATCTTAAAATGTCACCATGAACTGTCAAGGACGACATGTACATATATATATGTACATACAATGCGGATAACTATTGTAACCCATGCACGTATTGACAAATTACACGTGTGAATTGCAATATCGATCTGTAACCTTTCTCTACGCGAGGAATAGAAACCGTGTTTCGATTATCCGAATATCCAGAATCGATCGTCGTAATCAGCAGGGTCATCTCCTGAACTGAGTACCACATCACAGAAATGTTGGTAGCGAGTATAATCGCTTTTGAGTAATGTCGCTTTGTCCGTCGTCGTCTCATCAGCTTGTTGCAGCTGCAATCGCTTTTCGACGTGCTCGTCGCAAATTTCCGAAAGACTTTGGTCTCGAAAGCACGTCCGAACGCATATCTGGAAATACAAAGGTATCAGCCCATCCATCTATAGAGATTTTTAAAATTACAAGCATATATATGATTGTAAAGTAATAAAGACATTGAATTTGTGTTGTCCAATTTAAAGTTTTCTAACTTATACTCGAATTATAGACTTCAGCAGAGAACATCCATAGGATGTTCGGATGTCTTCTGGATATCCTCTGAACGTCTTTTGGATATGTTGTGCTGGTAGAATCTGCTTGCTTGATTTCCTATGTTTGTGATTTATGTCAACTGTATCGAGGGCGAGATTTATTAATGCGCTTCAAATGTTCCTTTTCCAGGCGGAAACCGCAACAAGCTGCGAAGGATCCATTAATCAAGCGAAATCGAGCTCCATGTTGATGAGACGCGCGTGCAACTCGAAATCCGATCACGTTTATCGCGATTACGACCATCATTCCTACAGCAAGGACAATTCGATCAACTGCAGTTGTTGCCGGGCAAGAAACAACAGCGAGGACATTTCGGAGCTGCAGGACGAGTGCAGCGGTGGAGATGCAATCGATACAGTGCCGAGTAGAGAGCACGAGGAATTCGTAGCTTCGGAGGCTGACCATAAAGATGAATCTGTAAAAGTGACCGAGCGAGACAGGTTTGCTTGCCTTCGCGATTTATTTATTTATAGTTTCAATCTCGTAGAGTAGTCATTCTCGTTAAATTAATTAATAGACGTATCAGCTCAACTATATGGTATATATGTGTTAACCGCTCATATACGTCACATAATTGTACGATATATTTCAAAAATCGATATCGCAAATAAAAGACAGTCTTTTAGAGTTCCAGACGAGAAAGGTGTGATTAATTACAAGATCTTTTCATCGAATATTAATTACGAGCACCCTCCTCTTCACGAATACAGATGCAACGCAGCGTCGAGAACGATGGATGATGAGGTTGCTAAAACGACGGAGATTGCGGAATGGATTCCGCAGTCCGCGCGCCCCACATTCTGCGACCATCATCGCAAAACGCGATGTCCTTCGGCTGTACCCTACTCGAATTCGGATCCCGTAAATCTCCTGTACGACTCGGCGCCTCGCGAGAGGAAGAACAAGATCGCGTGCGGCGACTTTTCGACGGACAAGGGTAAGGATTTCCCGCCGACGAGTTGTCACGAGACGTCCATCGATCTCGACGGCGACGCGGAGGACGTCACCAACGAGACCTGGGATCATCGTGGTCCTGGTATGGAAGATGCGTGGATGAAGCTGGACACCTCGATGTCCCATCGGAAAATCGTGGAACCGACCTGGCGATGCCGATGCTCGCGTCATTCTTCGCGCGAGGAGGCCGTTTTGGATCTGTTGAAGTCGTCGTGCGATTATTGCTGCGAATGTCATCGTTGTGATCATCGTTGCGATTGCTTCCGGCGGCATTGCTGTTGTCGGCAGCGCGGCAACTCGTTCTCCATGAATGTAAAAGGGTGAATAACGCATTTTTTAAATAATATACCTCCATATAAATTATATATCACATATAAATTTTATTTATGTGCGCAAAATTAATTCCGCACGTATGTATTTTTCGAAAGATTTTCTGAAATGACGTTATACTTTAGAAAAGAAGTCGGACGAGAAAATACGTGACCGAGAGGAATAATGAAAAGACGCCGCGGCTGCAATCTCTCTTTAATTCACTCTCTTCGCATCATTCATATTGCAGATGCGAGGTGTACGAACGCGGCGGGAAAGCTCAGCATAAAAGCTGGCACGATCAGATGCGAGGTGAGAATAGTCGATTGTATGCCCGGCAGTGCTGCTCGAAGGAGCACCCTGGAATAATATCAGCCTCTCGTAAGCGAAACGACGAAAAACGCTGGGAGAGGAAGAACGGAAACGAAAACGACGACAACGACGAGGACGGTAGCGTGACCGTTATCAATCACAAGGACTCCATGTGCATTCTCGCTGAAAAATATAAAGTCGGCAGGAAATGCCGCGGCAGAAGGTGCGGGGATAAGGTGCGATCGGCCGACAGGACGAAGGGAGGCAGGGACAGGGCTGGGTGTAACAAATCGTTGACTTCGAAAATCATCGATCAGCCGGAATCGCCGCTCGAAAACGCTGTTCCGCACGGCAGACCGAGCGTGAAACACGTTTGCCGAGCGCATTGCGAGTGCTGCGGGACCGCTGCTAGGATCGCGAGCGACTCGTGTAGCCGTGGATGTGGTCGACACGCACCGCCGGAGGGTGAATTCGACCGATTCAAACCCCCTTTGAACGAGACGACTGCTACTCACCGCTGTTCAAGTCGAGCGCCTTGTAGACGTGCCTTCTAATTCAATTTCGTTTCGTATACAAACACGTTTACGTACTTTTTACATCAATTTTCTCTTTTCTAGTTATTTTTAGCGTTACAAACATTTTTCCGCATGAGAGAAAAATAGAAAGAGAGAGAGAGAGAAAGAGAGAAACATTGGAATTAAAAATAAATTAAAATTTATTTCAATTTTTGCTTCTCTATCTACATTTTTATTGGAGCAAATACCACGGCAAAAAAATTCCAGCAAAATCGCTGTACTTATATATATTGCGTTTCTCATTTTAATCATTGAATTTTTTTCATAATACTCTTACTCGTGCCGTATAACTGTAACGCGAAACTATAATGCCTAGCTGGGTATTAAAACGCTAAACGTCGAGAATAAAAATTATGCAAATCAAATTTGGATAAGCCCCCATGAAACGATTTAACTCGTATCAGTCGAATTAAATGAACGTTACGCGGCCGGGACAGTTTTTAATTCGTTTTACTTGTAGTACATGTGCTCGGGGGCTATTTCCCTGGTTCCGTGGGAATTCTAAAGCTCGACTACGAAAGTGCGGCACGTTAACGAAATTATCGAACGTAAGCATGCCGAATGCGGGCATTATTAAATGCCGCGGTGTCTCCGGCATTGGACGGCCTCCTGATGGCAGCAATTTGCTCTTCGTGCTCGTTGTTGCCCCCGTTTCTTTCCTCGCGCTGTTCGTTCCATGTTAATTGGCTTATCCGCCGGCGTTTCTGAAAAGGATTCTGACTTGTGCGGCATTTTCCTCCCCTTTTCTCCCCCGTTCCCCCGAGAAGTTTGGCTCTTGTTAATCCCGCACGTAGGTTCCTTCGCGTTTCGTTTCCACTTCGATCTTTTGGCCTTCTTTCTCATCTTCGAGATCGTAGTTTTCTAGTTCCCCAAACGGTTTGTAGACTTCTGATCGAACAAATCCCTGTTCGTCGTATCCTATTTATACATATCCGGATAAAGTGACGTTTTAAAGAGTGTTTCATTTTTTTAACATTTTTATTGCCTGTCTTACACTTTAAATTTATATTAACATTTTTATATAGTCTTTGTAATATTAAATTTAGAATGGATATTCGTTCGTAAAGACTATGAAAATTATCACCTTCCTCGATCATGCGAGCACGTATCAATCGATCTTTAAGAGTACGCTGAAGTTCTTCGCTAGCCTTTGTTAAGTTTTCTCGATTACCAAATTCCGTAGGAATGTCCGCGCTGGTCATAACGTCATCGAAAACTTTCTGATGCAAATTTTTGACAATAGCATTTACCATCATCGATCCCGCGGAGTCTATCCGTGGTGTATTAGAGTTCTCCCTTTTTTTACGATACCGTCTGTAAGCTTTCTATATAACATTTTTTATTATTTAATTCTATACGAATTTAGCATAAAATATAATGGATTTAATACTTTTTTTAGATAATGTAAAATAATTTTTCTATAACTTTATTTATACTAAATTTTTTTACTTGTATAACGGAAGCAGCTTCATTAGCTTTCATCTGCGTTAAATTTTCGACAATAGGGTCTACTACCACCATCGATTTCGTCGATTCTATCTGCGGTGTATTAGAGTTCTTTTTTTGACGATATCGTCTGTAAGCTTTCTACATATAACATTTTGATTATTGTCATTTAATTCTATATGAATTTAGCATAAAATATGATGGATTTAATAATTTTTTTTTATATAATAGAAGAAGAATTTTTTTATATAATATAAAATTTTTTACTTGTATAACGGAAGCAGCTTCATTAGCTTTCATCTGCGTCAAATTTTCGACAATAGGGTCTACCACCATCGGTCTCGTCAATTCTATCCGCGATGCTTTTTTTTGACGATATTGTCTGTAAGCTTTCTACGTAACATTTTTGATTATTGTCATTTACTTCTATATGAATAAAATATAATGAATCTAATTGTTTTTTATCTAATCTAAAATAATTTTTCCATAACTTTATTTATACTAAATTTATTTACTTGTATAATCGAAGCAGCTTCATTAGCTTTTGTCTGCGTCAGTCCTGAGTCCTCGTACATCATATCTAACCAGGCTACTGCTTGAATGGTTTCGCTGGGTTCTATCATGTCTACGTCGTTTTCTTTCTCTTCTTTTTTCTTGTCATCTTCTTTCTCTTTTTGCACTGCAAATAATTGTGAAAATAATTTCGAAAATATATTTGTAATATGAAATGTGTGAGTACGGTACACGGTCGAGCAATTATTTACTCATTTTCATTTTTAAATTTCTCCTCGTATAGTATCCTCGATAAGTAGCCTGTATTAGAACGGCGGCTCTCGATGCTTCCGCTTGGGAAGCTCCGGCTTTCCTCAGGATCTCCATCGTCCTCGTTGCCGCTCGTTGCCATTGAACCATACCTTGGGACTCGTTTAACAACATTCTCTCGTAATGACCGCGGAAAGCTGCCTGATTGATGGCAACGAAAATGACTCAAGAAGCCGCGGTAACGATTATTACGGAGACCCATTAAGGCCTTACGTGATACTGATGCATACCTGTATTATCACGGCAGACTTCTCCGCCTGTTCCGCCGGTGTTCCCGTCGCTTCCAAAATACTCTGCAGAGATACCCTGGACTTTTCGTCGCAAGTATCATCTGCGAAAGGTCGAAAGGGAGGAATTTCTCTCGTTGCACTTTGTTCCCGTGTACTTTATAGCGTACATACAATTCCGCGTCTACCCGCAGCCGCAGAATTGTTTTTCTACATAATTCACCGTGTAATTACCGTCGCACACCTGGTACGCTTGCATGTCTACCGCGTCCAAGTACGCGCGGAATGCCCTCTGAACAAAAGGAAGAGGAGAAAACGACCGAGAAATATTATTTAACTGTGCTAGGATCCCTATCTGGCACGCGACAGTAAATTCTATACCTGAATTCTGGGCGCAGCGCGAGCGATCTGCTCTAAACTCAAGCCGCTGCGATAAAGTATGCTCACGATGGCTTGGCTTCCCAGTAAAATATTGTTTACGACTTTCACCGCAACTAGAATGCAATTGTATGTATTATAGAATGTGATTCATAATGTATGAATTACAGCCATTTACGATTTTTACACGTGTATTTCATGATATGCGAATGACAATGAGCGATCATGGCAATCTTTTTGAATTTACATAATTAATCGTGGAATGAATCAGTGTGTTATATATGCAATGTAATTTACATATACAGTAAGTATTACTATAGTTGTCCTAACGCTGTAATTAGTCTTTGGTTATAAGGAGTTGTGTATAATGTTAGAAATCTGGTATTGCAAAACTATTATGAATCATGTCGGATATACCTTTTGCATTTTCCCGTGTAATTAGAAGCGCTTCCACGTAATCAGCAATGAAGCAATAGATATTCCTCGGCTGCGAACGTAGAACCTTTACGAATCAAACAATAATTTAATCATCCTTTGACGGGACGGCAGTAAAAAGTCGAATAATAATTTCGTAGGGCGAACCTCGCGTGCGATGTCGGTGCATAGTTCGCGCAATCCTTCCGGGACCTTGTATATATGTTTAGCTTCATGTTTCTGGAGTAAAACGTTCATTTTCGTGATTATTGCTTTAACCGAGTTGCTTGAATTTATCGACTCTCGCTCTTATCGCAGGTAATACGATGTGCGAGAGTTGCTAACTTTTGATGATAACGAACATATGATGATGATGAGCTATACAAGGCGGCATAAAATGCAAGTAGCCCAAGTCAGGCAACGTTAGTTATCAGAAACACGTCGAGATTAAAATAATACAAATATGAACGTGAAGAAAGAGCAGATAGCAATATATTTATCATATTATTTGCTATTAGCTTCAAAGATATTAAAATCTTATGAATGAGATTATTTCACGATACGTATATATTTATTTATTTTGTTGAATGGTCATTATATCAATATAACGGTGTCATTCTAATTCCTTTTCCTCTGTCACGATACCACTCATCGAAATAATATATATAGATATAGATTATCGCAGGGCATTCCAAGTCACGATCCGGTTTGACTTGGGTCCCACCAGGATCAGTTCCTCGTTGACTTTGATCGCGCCATGTCGATGGCGCGCCTGCAATTATGAACGTACGCGTTGCATTATCAGTGATCTTGTTGTTAGTTTTACTACCGTCGTGTGAGTAACTTATATAACGTTTTCATGTAAAGTCTTGTTATTGTTTCTAATGCGATCATGCTCCACGGAGTTCTGTGCAAAAAACGGCCGCGAAAGTTGTGACTTCGAATATTGACACGATTTAATTGTGATATATATATATATATATATATATATATATATATATATATACCATATATATATTAAGAATCATATTTTTATTCATATTTCCAATTTATTTAATAATTCTTTGTGTTTTGTGGAATAATTCGAAAAATCGTGAAATTGATATAAATATAAATAATAATAAATGCAATAAAATATCTAAACGGATAATAATTATTATAATAAATATATGTAGCGAGCGATCAAAATATTTAACGTCAAGATGTTTTTAAATAATTTATCTGCGTTTTAAATCAAAATAAATTTAAAACATGTGGGAGAAACAAAACGTAATTTCTGCCTATGTTGAATGACTATTAAATATTCATAAACTGGCACGGTCACGAATACCGGTACCTGTTTACATTGAGCGGTTTTTGCTATAATCAAGAACCGAAGCGATCGTGCTTACATCGTGTATTTACGCATTATTAAATCTGAAGTCTTGAGTCATGTGTAAAAATTATTCCCTTCTTCATCTGTATATTTTCTTCTTTTTGTCATAAAGTGTACGATCAATCAGATTATTGATCAGATTTTTCTCTATTCATAAAAACATTAATTTAAATTATATAAATAGTATGTCAATATAATAACAAATTATATAAATATATATATTAATATAACGTTAATTACATAAATAGATATATAATATATATAATTATATTGTAATTAAATTTTTTTAAATAATGCTATATTGAAGTTTTCAATTATTCGTGTTTAAAAAGAAAAGACCGATAAAAACCATTGTATAATGCTTAAACTGTCTGATATATATATATATATATATATATATATATATATATATATAATAATATGATATATGATCTGATATAATAATGTATAATATACGATAAAATATATTTTGCAAATGAATAAAAGCATTTAAGCAGAAATTATATACTTTCAGCATTGACTCAGAATTTCGATCGTATATATGATACTGAATACAATCTCCCTGATCGATACGTGGCAACCGCGAATGGCCCACCTGGTCAGTCCAAGTGGAACGAGAGAGGTTCTTCCGAACCATCAGGTCATAATAAATGGGAAGGTGATCACAGAGGACCACCAGGCGGTCGTGGGCCTCCCGGATTAGCGGGTGGCAATCCTCCAGGATTAAATGGTAAACGTCCTCCAGATAACGGAGTAAACATCGAAAGACTGTCCGAAGATGAGAAATATATAAATAATCAACAATCCACTCATAAATCTACTCGACCTACTGAAAGACGTCCTCATGGTCCGGATGATCGTACGTCCGATCATATATATATATTAATAATATGATATATGATCTGATAATAATATGATATATAGTATACAATAAAATATCTTTTGAAAATGAATAAAAACATTTAAGAAGAAATTGTACACTTTTAGCATCGACTCAGAATTTCGATCGTACATACGATACTGTATACAATCCTCCTGATCGATACGTGGCAACCGCGAATGGCCCACCTGGTCAGTCCAAGTGGAGCGAGAGAGGTTCTTCTAAACCACCAGGTCATAATAAATGGGAAGGTGATCGCAGAGGACCACCAGGTGGTCGTGGGCCTCCCGGATTAGCGGGCGGCAATCCTCCAGGATTAAATGGTAAACATCCTCCGGGTAACGGAGTAAACATCGAAAGACCGTCCGAAGATGAGAAATATATAGATAATCAAGAATCCACTCATAGACCTACTCGTCCTACTGAAAAACGTCCTTATGGTCCGGATGATCGTACGTCCGATTCAAACAGCAACTCGCAAAATCGACGATGCAGGTACGTCTAAGGTGAAAACATTAAATTTCTTATTAATAAAAAAATAAATCTCTTGTAATATAATTTATAATAATAAGTATTTTTTATTCGTGCTAGATCATAAGTTCAAGTATCTGACGAAAATATTTTAATTTAATTACTGTTAAACAGAGACAACGAGTTTCGTTGTAATAAGACTAACGAGTGTCTACCACAAAGTGTCAGATGCGATAAAAAAATTGATTGTCACGATGCCAGCGACGAAGCATTTTGTCTTGGGTAAGTTAAATACTCCTTTAACTACGTATATGTCTTTAATTCACATTTATGCATTTTTTATAAACATACATATATATGAATGAATCTAGTAATGACAAGATTTTATTTTTTTTTATCGTCTTCTTTACTTTTTAATTTTGTAATATAAATCTTAGATTTACAATTAAGCACAATTCGTGGAATTATAGGAACAGATTTGGAGAAAATGGCTGTGTCTTGCCTGAACAACCGGAAAATGGAAATTACGTATTGGATGGTTGCGATAGTTGCACTAAACGTCCAGGCGATATAGTTCCCTTAAAAAGCATTCTTACTTATAATTGTAAAAACAATTATTTACTGAGCGGAAACACCATTTCCGTTTGTGCCAACAACGAATGGTCTGAACCACTTTCGTGTTACAGTGAGTTTTATTTTGGTGATATTAATTTCTGAAAATGCCAAAATAAAGTTTATATAAAAATAACATTTTTTAATTAATCGGAAAATAATCTATGTGTCGTACAATATAAGAATTATTACTTACCTTCTCTTCAATTATTATCTTCGTAGAAGTCTGCCCATCGTTAAACAGCACGAGCGTAGACATTTCCTGCAGCTACAAGGAACAAACAGTGTCCTGCGGCGTACGTATACTGCCTGGTACACGGGCTGCGCTTGCCTGTAAATCATCTTATAAATTACCTTTAACGAACGATCCGGCTTACAGAGAGATCACGTGTCTTGACGATGGTTTATGGGATCGTCGCCTTTTTCGCTGTCTACCCGGTATTTGTCACTCGCATATTTCTTATAGACAAGAACAAGAAGTCTTTTGACAAATTAAATATTCCCCTTGCCATTATTAATCAACTAAATATGTACAATAGAAATTTTTCTTCAGTAATTACAATTTATATACATTACGAGATTATAGTTTCGTAATATTTTTTTCGGCTTGTAATTCAATTACTTTACGTATCATAAAAAATAAAGAAAAGCGGAAATATTAAAAAAATATAAAAAATATAAAAATATATATTTCTGTTTACAATTGCAGAATGCGGGACGACCACTGCACGCGGTAATACTTTAATCGTAAACGGATTCGAAGCTAAAGTAGGAAAATTTCCCTGGCACGCTGGTGTTTACGTCAAGAAATCACGCACGAATGAATACGAGCAGATATGCGGTGGCACTCTCATTAGCAGCTACCTCGTCATAACAGGTAAATTATCGCGAGTATGGATGATCATATTCTTATTGTTTACTCTTTTTATATGTATTCACAGCGGCTCACTGCGTTTACGATGAAGTCAACAATGAACTTAATGACGCGCGAAATTATGCTGTGGCCACCGGCAAACATAATCGTGATTGGAACGCGAGAGAGAAATATGCGCAGAAGTCATCTGTGGAGAGTATTCGATCGGGCGGCAGATATATGGGGGCGAGAGGTAATTTTGCCGACGACATAGCCCTATTGAAATTAAAGACACCCTTTGAGCTGACTACCTTAGTGAAACCAGTGTGTATGGATTGGGACAATGAATATGAAAGGGACCAGCTGCAAATGGGCCAAGTCGGCAAGGTAACGCTGATCTAATATGAATCGTGGGAACAAATTGATCGTCTTAACGTTTAAGTTAAATTAATCGCGAGGGTGCTTTGTAGACGAACGAAAATACATTCGGGAAACTAATAGCTATTAATTACATCAACGACATGGTTTTGAATTAAATTTTGGCCGCGTATATGTTGGGATATCGTTACAGCATCCTCGCGTTAATTGACAAAATCTATACGCGTACATTTTCGAGAACCTATATATATTGATTGAATAGACTATCTAATTTTTGTGGAGCAGAGGATTAGAAAACGGTTCGTTTCGCGCGTTCAGGGAGCGAGGGAGAATCAAACGTAAAGAGAAAATAGAACGGACTCGTGAGCTCACTTCGTGATTTCAGGTGGTCGGTTGGGGCAAAGACATTAGAGGCGAATCCACCAGGAACTTACAGGAAATTGACATGCCGTTCGTGCCGTACCAACAGTGTTTGTCCGCAGTGCCTGTAGATTTCCGAGGATACCTCACGTCCGACAAATTCTGTGCCGGTCGTTTGAACGGTAAGTCCGTGTGTGTGCAAATAATTGTGAGATTTATTCACATAGTAGATACATAAATCTTTCGCGATATCGTCGTAATGATTTAATTTGTTAATGTTGAATTTTTTATGATAGCAATTCTTTGTCAAGAGAAGATAATTGCATACTTTTTATTAATTTTTCATATTCAATTATACGTAATAAAAATAATTGCACAATTGTCAGGTTCGAGTGTCTGCGAAGGAGATAGTGGTGGAGGTTTATGCTTCGAGAAGGATGGTGTTTGGTACATTCGTGGTGTCGTAAGCGTAAGCCCAGCCAAAAAGGTAGTTGCGATTACAACTCATATGTTGGATTTACCTCCGTTAGTCGCTTCCGTGATTGGATTCGCGAGGCTTATGTCAATGAGTAACAAGGATATTTTTGGAGAGGAATGAGTTGATTAGATGATGAGTAGATGTGACGTACGAAATAACAATAAGGAAACGGCAAGAAAACAGTAAGGAAACAGATAAATAATTGTACATATTCTTCAAAATCTTAATATTGGTTGATAAAAATATAAAAAAAGTTAGAATTTTAAAGATTTACGTGATAAAGTTCATTTACATTTTGAAAGCATAATGTTATAGACAACTGAAAAATATTAATTAAAAATTATATGTACGTGAATTTATAAAAAAATTTTATAATAAGACACTATAATAAATATTACTGTACTACTATTGTAATATGTTTGCAAATAAATAAATGAAAAAAATTATTACTTTTGTTCCATTAGGTTGGTGCATATCGATATTTTTTTAAAAGTTACCATTAATTATCCGCCATTGTCCTTAATAATGTAAGATCATTTTAAATTTAAGTTTTTAATTTGCTGAAACTTTGTTTTTTATATCTATTTCGAAAATATAATCTATCTCTATCATCTCCATCTTGTTATAGGCACCATGAAAAATTAACTAATTAATTCTTAGAAAAAATAAGTTGATCCGCATCTTTTGTATATTACAAAATTTGTGTTATCTTGCAGTAAATAATAATGCTGCTCGTAGATTTTGTTCTGTAAATATACCAGATAAATTAATATGTTAGTTTTCAGAAAAATGAAGATAAATCGTTAAACACGAGAAAGTCCTATTAATCTTTATCATCGACGTTCTGTTAATAAAATATAGATATGTTGTGGATGGTAATTATTCTTTCGCAATTACAGCATTTCTTCGGTAACATAAACGAGAAATATTCACATTTACTTCAACATTGGTTTTTCTGATTGCTATCAATTACTAGCGAATCCTAACATCGATAATGGGGAGGTTTCTGCAAAATTATTTAATTAATATTTTTTGTTTTATACTTAGCTTTTACTCCAGGATCAACGACAAATTTTTTTTAATTTGCAAGGGGGAGGTTTAACCACAAAGTTTATCGCAACAGTATTCTTATTTATAGTTGTGAAAAAATTACGTATTAAGCGGAAACGCAATTTCCGTCTGTATCAATCTCACATGGTCCGAATTGCCTTCGTGTGTAAATAAGTTTATTTGACGATATTCACTTTTGAAAATATAAGATAGAGAGTTTATATACAAGCAAAATATTTTGTTTAATCATAAAATTTTACAAAATATAAAATGTATCACTTACTCTTTCGATGTTTCTTTTTTTATTTTAGAAGTCTGTTCATCATTAAGAAGCACGAGCGTAGGTATTTCATGTAGTCGTAAGGGAGAAATAATGTCCTGCAACAATTTTGTATTGCCTGGTATGTACACAAGCTATACATTTGCGTGTAAACCATCTTGTAAATTACCAGTAACAAATGATCCAGGTTACGGAGAAGTTATATGCCTGGACAATGGTACATGGGATAATCACATCTTTCGTTGTCTACCAAGTATTTGTCATTTATATGCATTTGGTATAATATAAAAAAATTACAAATTAACATTTTCTGTGCCTAGTAATGTTATTTATCAAAGATTGCATTGATTTGTCTCCTTGACAATACTTATATATACAAAATTGTAATTTATGATCTGCTAGTTTACATAATTACCGTCATATCACAAATCGGATCAACAATGTTTTACTTAATTAGAGTGCGGGACGTCCATCGCACGCGGTCAGACTTTAATTGTAAATGGATATGAAGCTAAAGTGGGAGTATTTCCCTGGCATGTTGATATTTACGCCAACCAACAATCGGATAATTATAAACAGATATGCGGCGGTACTCTTATTAGTAGCAATCTCGTCATATTCGGTAAATTGTCGTGCGAGAATAATTATTTTACTTTCAATGTTTATTCTTATTGTTTTTTATTTTTGTTCGCAGCACACTTAATCAGCAGCTTATTATAATATGGTCTAGATGCACTTTGAGCATTATTATTATCCAACTTTTCTGATGTTCATAACTATCTATTCCATTATTATCCACTTTTGCTACTTAGGCCAACAAGGTAAAAACCGAATAAAAATTATAAGTCCACAGTATAGGACCAATGAAGCGCATAGGATCATGCCTTCCGAAAGAAAAAATCGAGAAAAAAGGGTAAGTGAAACAATGATGAATTGAATATGATTTTTCCTGTCTTAAATTATTTACAAATAATTTATTTAATAATTACTCGTAAATGTTACTCGTAAGAATCAATTAATTTGTTATTAATGAAATTTAGAGCAATTGATTCTATGAGTTTTATAGAATACGATTAAAGGATATTCTGTTACATATATATTTAAGAATAGAAAGAGAATCAGAGAGAAAATAAAACGGATGTGTGAATTTACTTCGTGATTTCAGGTGGTTGGTTGGGGCAAAGATATTACAAGTGAATTTACCAAGAACTTACAAGAAATTGAAATGCCATTCGTGCCTTATCGTCAATGTTTGTCCGCAGTGCGAGACTCGAGATTTCCGAGGATACATCACAAACGATAAAAATTCTATGCTGGTCATTTGAACGATGAGTTCATGTATGCGAATAATTGTGAGATTTACTCAAGCTTATGCAGTTTTTTTTTAAATTGTCGTAATGATTGATGATATCTATTTAACGATAAATTACATATGACTTTAATAATGCATTGATTATGTCACAACAATGAAATGTTTCCACATTTTTTCTATTAGTGATTCATCATATTTAATGAAAATATATATAATTGCGCAATATATTATATATATATATATTTTTTTTTTTAGGTTCGAGTGTTTGCGATGGAGATAATGGCGGTGGTATAGGCTTCGAGAAAAACGGTATTTGATATCTTAGTTTCGTTTGAATAACAATAATTGTGATATTAGTAGTGCATTTGTAGTTATAAACGCACGTGTTATAATCTCGATGATTTTGATCGTTACTGGTTTTACTACTGTCACATGCATAATTTACATAATTTTAATTTCGAGCAAGAAGTTATCGTTAAAATTCATACATATAGCAATATGATTTGAATATAAAATTAAAAATTATATGTTTATCCACTGCTCTTCTGTAGCATTGAATAATCGAATATGTCGTCCTCTAGAACGAATAGTGAAATTAATTTATATAAAAATATTATGTGTCATACTTTTTGAAACACATATTTTTATATATAATATGTGATATGTTTAATATTTAGATATTCTGATCATATGTAATCATAATATATGATAATTTTGATACATAATTGAAATATTCTAGTAAATGCTTTTCACATAAGTTTATTCTTATTTTTATGAAATACCTATTATGAATTAAGCAATTGTGGTGAGCCTTGTTAAACGTCCTAATGATTTAATTCTCGAAATCAGTTTTCTCATTTATACTTGTAGAGACAATTAGCTAAATTAGATAGAAATTAGATATAAGAGATTAGATAATTAGTAAAAATTTAGCTAAATACCTCATTTTGGTTTAAATCAATTAGAAATAGTTTACATCGCCTTCGTATATCTTAATAAGTTTATTAAGTTTATTTATTTTTATATATTTAAAAAAATGTTAAATAACAAATGCAATTATAACAATGTATTTCTGTTATTTAATGATTTGATAAATGCAAAATCTTACATGTATTATTTATCTTTCTCTGTGTTTATCTCTGCAGAAATTTGTTTACCGTTAAGAAGCACGAGCGTAGACATTTCTTGCTGTCATAAAGAAGAAATGGGGTCTTGCCAAACATGTATTATGTCTAGTAAAGGGAATACTAGCTTGAAAACCATCTTATACATTACCCTTAACAAATAATTCGACTTTCTGGAAGATCACATGTCTTAATAATGATTTATGGAATAATAATTTATATTTATGGAATAATTATGTTTTGCATTGTCTACCGAGTATTTATCATTTTCATGCTTTTGCTTTTGTAAAAACAAAAAAATTTGACGTAATATTTTTCATACTTATTGCAGTTATCTATTAATAGATTATTGACAGATTTTTTGTTTAAATTATTTTAATTACCTGTAAAAGAATTTTGTGCTTTATTTTTTGACTGGTAATTTACAATTTGACATGTAATGCAATTGTCGTATTCTAAAAATATCAATAAAATTCTACTTAATTAAAATGCAAGACATCCATCACAGTCAATTTTTGATCGTAAATGAATTTCTAAATCAAAGTAGGGATATTTCCTTATTTAGCATACTTTATATCTAAGTATGCTAAAACGAATGCAAGCCAATACAAGTAAATATATGTAGTGACACTTTAATTAATAGGAATCTCGTTATATTAGCTAAATTACACAATATGAATAAATTATTTCATTATCTTATCAATAATTTATTTTGAGCGCTCACTATTTTTACGATGAGATTTTTCATAAACTTAATGAGCTCATGGATTATGTTTATCACTCAAGCAAATGTCGCGATTGAACTCTATAGAAAATTATAGCCAGAATTATTAGTGAAAAAAATTCGAATAAGTGAAGAATACATATGGCTGAGAAATATTTTCGTTCATGACTAAACTTTGTGATAGCGAGAGATACATTTACAGATGACTACTTCAGTAAATCCTGTTTGTAATGACTGGGATAACCAGTACAGAGAGGCAACGGCTGCAAGTTGGATAAATTGGCAAGGTAACAGTAGTAGCCAAGTATCAATTGATTAACTGGCCACTTTAGTGCAGTTTGATTAATTGCGTGACCGCTTTGTAATCGACTAAATGTTTATTCGAGAAACTAACAGTTGTTGACTACATTAATGGTTTTGAACTAAACTTTGACCGTATATATACTGAAATATTGTTATATTGCTTCTATAAATATATATATAAAGGCAGAGATTATTTTTTATTAATTGGAAACATTCTGGGAGCGGAAAAAATTCGAAAAAGAATTTGATCATAAATAAGGACCACCCTAAAAATATATGTACATGTACTATATACATACATATGTATACATGTACATATATTGTAATTTTTAAAATTCATTGTCGGTAGAAAGTAGTAAAATATGTAGATTCTAGCATTTAATACTTAAAGAGAAAAGAAAAAAATTGCCTAATCAGATGAAACGATCCTCGCCAGTCTCGACCGTATCACATACTATGGTACTGTGGTCTTTGGCTTGATTTTGATTCCCTTCATTCTTGGGTGTAAAGTTTGCTTTCGTCACAAGTTGGCGACACCATGCAGAGTCTTGTGGTCAGTGGTGCGCAGTACACACTGCGCAGCTTGTAATCGGTGG